ATACAGCAGAGCGGAGTGTGTGGAGTTCAGCTTCCAGCCACACGGAGATGACTACAACACACACACACACCTGCTGGAGCCGCAGGTGAAGCTGGAGCCGGACTCGGACTGTGAGAACGGCAGCGGTGCGTGCGGACGCTACAACACACACGGCGGCGCATGCGAACGCTACAACACACACGGCGCCGCATGCGAACGCTACAACACACACGGCGCCGCATGCGAACGCTACAACAGCGCAGGCGGACACACACACATGGGTGCGCAGGTGAAGCTGGAGGACGGGTTCGGGCAGCAGTTCTCCTGCCAGCGGATGAAGCCGCCGTACGCCGGACACTGCTACACCCCCCCACGGCCCCTGAAGTGTGTGTTGAACAGAGAAGCGGCCTCCGGCACACTCAACACACACTGCACTGACGTCTACACTGCTGACTACAGAGGGTACATGCAGCAGGACTACAAAGCAGGCTACGAGTTCAAAGGTCACGGCCTCGTCCACTCCATCAAGCAGGAGCCGCTGGACCCTCAACACTGGGACACACTGATGATGAGCTGCGGGAGCGGCAGGGCCGACACACACACCTGCACACCCTGCACACACTAACACACACACCTGCACACACACACACACACCTGCACACACTAACACACACACACACACACCTGCATACACTAACACATACACACACACAGAGGTCTGCCAAACACACACTCCTCTCAGTGTGTGTCCATTTCAGAGTGATGTACAGCAGCAGCAGCAGTTCTCCATCAGTGTGTGCAGCGCTGCAGGAGTGTGTGTGGTGTGCAGCGCTGCAGGAGTGTGTGTGGTGTGCAGCGCTGCAGGTCTGCTCTCCCTCTGCAGGTGTGGGTCTCTGTAATCTCGCTGTTACAGTAAGAGATCCGCCGGTAACTCTTCCCTCACTCACCTGCTGGACTGTAGAATGTTCAGAATCTTCAAGACAGAAATGCTGGATCAGGGAACAGTAATTGCAGTGTGTGTGTGTGTGTGTGTGTGTGTGTGTGTATGTGTGTGTGTGTGTGTGTGCTGCTGATGTTTGGACTGAAGCTTCTGTATTCTGTTTTTCCTAATGTGTGACTATCAGAGGTCTTCTGCAGGTTCTGGAGGTGTTGAAGATGCCGAGTCGCCGCTGGCATATAACATGAGCAATGAATAATAGCAGAGATACAGTGACGTGAACACAGCGTCAACAGTCTTCCTGTTATATTTATTTATAAAAATAAACACTTGTTTGACCACAGGCTGTGTGCTGCTGTGTGTTAATGCAGAAACACATTTACATATGCAAATCACACCCCACACCTCACATCCTGCTTCTGTTAACAAGAGTTTCCAGACCTCCATGAACAGGAGGAGGAGGAGTCAGTTCACATGCCCCGCCCACCAACACTCATTCCTACTGGTGCTGACATCACTGTGTGGGCGGAGCTTCATCTGTGGAGCTCCAACACTCCTCTACAGTGAGTGCAGTAGACCTGCTGAGAGCGCCACCTGCTGTCTGCAACACACACACACACACACGCACACACACACGCACACACACAGCTCAGCAGCTCAGAGTCTCTCTCTAGCCCTCCTCAGTCTGCTTTCCTGTCGTGCGGCCGGTAGTGTTGGATGATCTGTGCCAGGATGAAGGTGTTGGTCAGCAGGAACAGCAGACTCGCCGCCCAGATCCAGGAGAAACTGTTCCAGCCCTGAAACTCCAGCAGATACGCCGGAGCCAGCCAGAGGCCCTGCAGGAGCAGCCACAGCAGCAGCAGCAGCAGCCCGCGGCCTAGCCGGAGACGCAGACGGGGGAGGACCACCGGCAGGAGACACAGGTACCACAGGAAATACTGGAGGGAGAACACACACACACACACACACACACACACACACACACACACCACGTCAGCAGGCACATGTACACGAGGAAATACTGGAGAACACACACACACACACACACACCTGTGAGGTGCAGACTCTGTTGAAGCTGACGAACACTGCGGTGTGCAGGAAGCAGCAGAAGGGCAGGTCGGAGCTGAAGGCGGCCGAGGCCAGCAGGAGCAGCAGGAGCTGGGGCAGGAGCAGCAGCGGGAGCAGGCCGGAGCTCCAGCAGCGCTCCGCACACACATACTGCAGGTAGAAGAACGGGGAGAAGTTGTGGCGCAGGTCTCTGCGAGTCAGGTGGTACAGGTACGCCTCCTGGAGGAACTCCCAGCCATACCTGCAGAGCGAACACACACTCATCACCTGTGTTCATGACACACACACACACTCATCACCTGTGTTCATGACACACACACACACTCATCACCTGTGTTCATGACACACACACACTCATCACCTGTGTTCATGACACACACACACTCATCACCTGTGTTCATGACACACACACACACTCATCACCTGTGTTCATGACACACACACACACTCATCACCTGTGTTTATGACACACACACACACTCATCACCTGTGTTCATGACACACACACACACTCATCACCTGTGTTCATGACACACACACACACTCATCACCTGTGTTCATGACACACACACACTCATCACCTGTGTTCATGATACACACACACACTCATCACCTGTGTTTATGACACACACACACACTCATCACCTGTGTTTATGACACACACACACACTCATCACCTGTGTTTATGACACACACACACACTCATCACCTGTGTTCATGACACACACACACACTCATCACCTGTGTTCATGATACACACACACACTCATCACCTGTGTTCATGACACACACACACTCATCACCTGTGTTCATGACACACACACACACTCATCACCTGTGTTCACTATAGATCAGGGGTTTTCAAAGTGTGAGGCGCGCCTCCCCTGGGGGGCGCCAGAGCATGTCAGGGGAGGCGCGGGAAAAAATATATAATAAAAATATAATTATTAAGTTTAATTATTATATGTATTTTTATTATATTATATTATATATTTAAACGTTTTAATTAAACAAAGCAAAAAAATAATACGTCAAATATAAGAAAACCTTTTTTACCCAGAAGGCCATAGCTGTGAATTCGCTTCTGTTTGGCAAGCCCGCCAATACAGGTGTATGCCTGCTAATACATGGGTCGCTTTCTGCTCCTCACGGAGACGGCCGTCAAACTGAAAGCAAAAGTAAAATATGTCCGGGCCCGGTCCTCTCTCGGCTTCCTCTGCCCTCGTTCCTCCTTTTATGATCCAGAGCTCCTCCCGTGGGATCTGAGGCAGGTGCGCACCGCAGGTGTATCCACTCACACGGTGGCCTCACTCCGTTCCCACGGCGCTCGGCCACGCCCCCTCGCCACAAAAGCCTTCAAGTTCAGGGCTTAAACCCAAAAGACGACGACATGATGATCAGTATATGAGTTTAGGATATACGTGGACAGGACCAGCTGATGAACCACGACCTTTATGTGTGGTTTGTCAAGATATTTTGGCTAATGCCAGCATGAGACCCGCTAAACTTCCACTGTTTTGACTGGGATGGACAGTTCTTGGATCTGTTCTATTCATATTAACCATCATCCTAGTTTTAAAAATGTTATATTAAAATACTTGTTACTCTGTAAATAATCGACCTTTCATGCAAATGATGATAAAAGAGAGTTAACAGTCTGACATCTGTCTGTGTCTTTATATATACTGTATATATATATATATATGTGTGTGTGTGTGTGTGTGTGTGTGTGTGTGTGTGTGTGTGTGTGTGTGTGTGTGTGTGTGTGTGTGTGTGTGTGTGTGTGCATGCGTGCGTGTGTGCGTGCGTGTGTGTGTGTGTGTGTGTGTGCGTGCGTGTTTGGGAGGAGGGGGGCGCCAATGGTTGAGTTGTGTCAAAAGGGAGGCCCACTGTCTTAGACTTTGAACCCCTGCTCTAGATCATCAGGCAGGTCATGCATTTTAGAGTTCTAAACATAAGTTTCTATCAGGGTACACACACTGGCGCCGCAAGTCGGCAGCGCCCAGCCATGACTCAGGACGCAGTTCATTTTTCAGCCGCACCACCGATGCCAACTGATTAGTTTCATGTTAAATATCATGTGAACGTGCGCGTCTGGTGTGACACTACAGGAGACCCGGAGTTGCTTCAGCTTGTTCAGGCTGAGCACTGCAGCAGCTGATGAGGACAGTAAACGGGTTAATGAACGTTTCTCACCGGCAGTAGAAGATGAGGCCGAGGCTGAGGAACACGGCAGCAGACACGGCAGCGAAGCGCAGCAGAGCCGGGCTGAAGAACCGCAGCAGGACTCCTCTGCCCCGGGCCGGTGCCGCCGTCAGTGCCAGTGCGATGGGCAGCGCGTACGTGACCGGGTAGATCTTCATGTGCACGGAGAGGCCGAACAGCAGCGCTGCAGTCGTGTGTTTCCGCAGCTGCAGGCACAGCAGCGTGGACAGAACCAGAACCGCCAGCACGGACTCTGCGTTACCCCGCGTGGACACTGCCATGGGCAGCGGGTTGAGCAACCACAGGCCGCAGGACACACAGGCTGAACCATGGGACGCCCCGCGTAGAACCAGCAGCCGGAACATCAGCAGCCCCGACAGCAGATCGCAGAACCCGAACAGCAGCTTCCCGAAAAGCAGACTCAGGTAGACATTCGGCACCAGCAGCAGCGCCAGCAGAGGAGTGTAGCGGAACGTGGACCTGCGGTACGGACTCTCACCCTGCAGAACAACAGCACAACCCACAATCAGAGGAACCACAGTCAACAGAACCCACAGTCAGAGAAACCCACAGTCAGAGGAACCACAGTCAGAGGAACCACAGTCAGAGGAACCACAGTCAGAGGAACCACAGTCAGAGAAACCCACAGTCAGAGGAACCACAGTCAGAGGAACCACAGTCAGAGGAACCCATCAACTATTGTCATTACGTCAGCAGGCATTCGGAGTGTTCTGGTGTCAGATTCTCATATTCACATTCAATAATAATAATAATAATAATAATATTAATAATAATAATTGGATATTGAACGGAATCTTTGATCGTCTGTCGTCATTGTTAAAGACCCGTTACTCTACACACACAGTCGGTCCTCCATATAAGCAAACTAAGCAGCTGTTCAGGGCCCCGCCGCCGGTGCTGTGAGCCGGTTCCTTGCTGAAATCGTTTTTATTTGCATCTTATAAGTGATCTTCATCAGCAGTGCTTTAGGACTCAAATATTTAGACATTTTCACTACACAGAAATATGCACATGTGTTTATTTTACGATTGTTCTCAGTTGCAGTGTTTTGGTGTGGAGGTCATGTGATCATCAGGAAGCTCTGAGCAGCTCATATGTGTTGTGTTCTCGCAGTTCCAGCTTGCTTCTCCAAGGTAACCTGATATATTCTGCACTCTGCTGAGGATTTCCCGCAGACGAGCTTATAAAAGTGATGCCCTAATTCCATTAATGACAGTGATGTGAGCTCTGCATCCCTAATGTCAGCAACAGGGAAGGAGACTGGAGGGAGGAACGCAGGTTGTGTTTGGGTGTTGACATTAACCCAGTATTTGCTGCTTCCCTTTTCTCATTTACTTTATATTCTTTGCTCAGGGCTCGAAATTGCGACCATTTTGGTCGCATATGCGCCCGAAATTTTATCTATGCGACCTCAAAAAATATTTGGGTGCATTTCTGCGAGTGCTTAAATAGTTGTGTGCGACCAGTTTTTACTGCAAAATGTTCACCACATGCGCGGATTCGGGAGACATTCACGCAGAATGCATCTCTCTAAGCTCTTTGTCTGCACTTGAAACGGGAAACGCATCGCTCAGGAATGGTTTAAAACAGTTGTCATGTCATCTTGCTGCAGTAACAAGTCCGTAATGCTTGCCCCGCCTTCGCGCTCTTCTTATTGGCCCACCACTGCTCTAGCACTGAACGCGAATGATTGGTTAATATCAGCTGTCAATCACTCAGCCAGCGCCTTCTGGCTTCGGATGACAGAGAGAGCTACTACCGCGAAAAACTAAAGCGCTAAAAATGAGAATGAAAATGACACTGACAGATTTTGTTTTAGAAACCATGGCATCTAAAGTTATAAATAATGACACATCTTAGTTGTGATCATGTGCTGAATGTTAGTCCACCATCTACACTTTTCCAAGAGTGGATAAAAGACTCCGTTGGCTTCAAGTCCGCTATTAAAAGTCTGTGGGATGAAGTTTTCAGGTAACAGTTTGCCACATCTAGCACGAGAGCTTCTGTTTAATCCTTCATATAATCGCCAGATGCTGTCCACTGTGCAAGGGACAGCTATATGTAAAATTTAACACTACGTACACCATCGGCATCGCAAACGGGCTTACACTGAGTAAACTAATATCGCTACTCATGAAAAGACAGTATTGCTATTTACATGACGTATGCATATAATAAGGTACAGTATATGTCAAAAGCATCAGTGCAATATCTGACAGCACTTATGAGAACAGCACAGTTATGCCGTTAACAGATTCATTCAAGCAGTGCGTGCAGGGCCGGTGAGCGCTCCGTGTATGCTTTAGTCACTCAGTTATGTTATAAAATGTATTTTCTTGTGATAACGGGATTTCGTTGAGAAATATTTTCCTCACGCTTGCATATATATATATTTTTTGCTTGTTAGTTTGATTACTGTTGATTTCAAATGCAATAAATCTGTTTGTATAAAACTTGTAGTAACGGTGCTCTTAATTGTTGGGTGCGACTAAATTTTGGCTGATGCGCCTAACTTTTTAAAGTTAGGAGCATCGGTGCTACCAAGAAAAAAGGTTAATTTCGAGCCCTGTTTGCTGATTGATTTTATTATTAATGGATCAGTTTTTGAGTTCATGTTAACAGTTTTTTTGTGTTTTTAATGAGCTGAATGTATATTTATTAATGAGTAATGCATTTTCACTCTCGGCTAGTGATTGTTCAGTGTCTTTCACTGCAGGGTTTTGCTTTTGCTGGACGGTTTAGCTATAGAATCTTCAATCTGCTAAATGAATATGTCTGTTTTACACACTGCAGAAGGACAGAAGCAGAATCACTGCTCCCTTATCAAAGATGTGTAATTCTTCATTCCTGAAGCAGAGCTGATTTACAATGTCCAGATCACTCAGACAGTTATTCAGCAGGAGAGATCAGGCTTCACCTTCCTGTGTTTAATAAGCAGTATAATCACTGTGCGCCGGTTTGCAATGGCTCTTCTGCTTATCATTAATAACACGCAGATCATTAGGGAACAGTATTATCATGATGTCAGCGTTATTAAAGTACACGACGAACAAGTCTCCCTCAACATTTGGCTGTGTGTGTGTGTGTGTGTGTGTGTGTGTGTGTGTGTGTGTGTGTGTGTGGCGCCCTCTTGTGGATCATTTGAGTAGTGTGAACAACACAGCCATTTCAAGACAACATCAGACATGCAGTGTGAAGCAGGCTTGACTGACTAATGTGTGTGTGTGTGTGTGTGTGTGTGTCACCTGGGTGATGAATCTGGCGGCGTCTGTGAACACGTGATAATCCACATCAGTGTATTTGAGCTTCAGAGTCTGATCCTGATACACACCGACACACAGCAGCAGCAGGCGGAGCAGAGCCGCGGCGCCGAACAGCACACACACCCGAGCCTCCATCACACACAGTCACACACTCTTACACACACAAACACACACACACACCGAGCGTAAATCTTCAGACACACTGCAGAATCAATCTACTTCCTGAAACACAGCCGAGTCTCGCGCCACGTGACTGCAGATTTGGCCAATCGGAGAAGCCGCTGAAGCCTCAAAACCCCGCCTCCTGCCGGCTGATTCCCTCTGCAGCGGCTGATCCCCGCGCGGCCGCAGCTCTGCTCCATTAATATGGTCATCCTCCGCCACTCATCATCTGTTAGTCCGATATGTGGCTCTTTTCATCCAGTTCAGAGTGCACCGATAATAACCGTTAGCAGAATGGACACC